CCTACTGGCACTGCTACCCGAATTACGGTACTAAACTAACAAATTAAATGGTCTCTCCTTGCCAGTTGGTTGACAAAGAATCATTCGTTTTATAACAGAAAATGTAAAGGTTTCACGTAGGGGTTAAAAACATGTAGCACAACCATTTGAGACACCTGACAGGAGTTTCCACCATCAGCGCACTGGTGTAAAACACAGCATTCAATAGCTAAAACTTCCACTTCATTTCTCCAAATAGAGTGACTACTTGAGCAAGTTGATTCTTGTTGTCCCATTGATAGATACTCAGATTAAAATATCTGGATGGTGATAATTCCTCTAAAGTCTTTCCTGAAAGCATACAATGTTTCAGTTGGATTTCAATGTATTCACCTGAACCCGAGGTCACAAAAAATTAGTGATGGATCTGGTAGTAAATATCAACAGCAAATGAGAATCTCATCGAAATCTTGGCTGGACTTCTCCAACCACAGCTAACATCTCACCGCAACACTTCTTGATACTCTTTCGTAAGTGAGAGGAGAAGCTGATGGGATGCGTGATCAACCAAACAATAAGTTCAGCAGTAGCATTACTTGTGACACCTGCTGACTACGCTGACCACCATTCACAAAACACAACTAACACAGTCTGTTGAATCACAGGAAAACGATCTCGTCAGATGAGAAGTGGTTACTCTCACCGTCACACGTTAGGCTTCATTTGCGCAAACATTAATATTGAATTAACTTTCATCTCACGGTCAAAAATTCACAACACCTACTAATCTCTTACACAGTGTCTTCCTACAGTCCTCTTGAAATAAAACTAGTCAACTGCGTTTTGTTTGCATGCGTGCAAGAATACACTGAGCTACGGAATAATCAAATGTTCATCACCACTGTGCTCGTCCAATATAATTCTGAAGTCAACGACAGTGATTGTAAAATGCGGAGCGACTTTCAAAGAGTAAGAGTATTGACGAAAAGAAATATTCTCCACACAAAGGAGGGTGGTGGAGAACATCAAAGCTGCAGTGCACCCTGATAAGTAAACCGCATTGTATGCTTGGTGGAGATTGTCCACTCAACAACAAACACGTTAGTACCGTCAAGCAAGGCAAGTAATTTCACATATAGCAATGTGCGAAATAAGTCTAATTTGTGGAGAATGGTTTTTGGAAGAGTGTGAGTCGACCGGTGAAGTGGGTGTGCAGAATGTAGAACCCACTGAACTGAACATAAAAGTAGGCATCTGTGTATCCAACAGAGAAGGAAATCACGAAGTCAACGGTGAACAAGGTATCGACTCTGGTCAAATTGAAATATGTTCAGCAATTCACATGTGTATTTGAATCAAAAATCTGGCAGAAGGATAAGCAGACTCCTGTCAACCTGAGTGTTTACTTGTCTCAGATGACATAATATAAGTGAGTTACTTATCACTCAGTATAGCATCGGCCGGTCACTTGATGTAAAGATTAAAGCATCTGGCCTATTGAAGACGGTCTCATTATTCGAAATGCAGAGACTTCAAACTTGCTACAGTTCAGGATCTATCGAATTTAAATCTGAGCTGACAATATCGAATATCTGCCAAAGGGATACAGAATGTTTGAACGACAGCCATTCACTACTGTAGAGACTGTTTCTATTAGAATCCCAAATCCATTCCCACTAGGTCCTACTTTCAGTCTTACGACACCTCCTACCGAGCATAATGGGCCATAGGTAAATGGAAGTATACTTATGTGAAGATGAGACTATCCAGAGATTCCAAGTGTACAGATGATAATCCAGAATCAGACCTGAAGTCAACAGGTTACATTCACGTGAAACATCAGTTGTCTGCAAACTACTCTCATTTGGAAGAAAATCACAAGGTTTGTGTTCTGTGGTGTGATTCACATTCTGATATTCAATTTATTTCAATGATTTCTAATTTCCTTTAAAATAGTCAAGTGCGACAACGCATTGTTCTTCTTGTGTTTTAGGCGTGTCACACATCACAATGTATCTCCTAAATAAATGATCATATTGTTCTGATTCACATGACTTAGTGAGGCACTGTTCGATGAACGTGGTGAATAGAACAGTGATTTGAATGAGCATAGTGACAATTATTCTCTCAAAATGGCAACCACAAGAAATGACAAGCTCTGGAGAAATGAATAATCAAGTAGGAAATATCTGATTTGAATATTTTCGGCTGAAATTTCCTCTCTTAAGTATAAACGATGATTTGAAGTTTGATGTATCGTTAATATTAATTAACTTCAGAGTACTCACATTTGATACCGAGCTTGAGTGTTCCATATACAGTTCATATGAATATGATATCAGTCATCTGCATGATAATAACTAGTTCATTGGCAAACAATACAACATTTTTTATTACTCCGTGCTTGTCTAAATTTCCACGTTAACCGCTTATACACCAGGAAATATATCGACCTGTTATGCTACGACAGTTAGTGTTTCCAAATTGTCACAGTTTGAAAATGTCGTTTCTGTCACCTGCTTCCCTTGTGATCCCTTTTACGCGATGCTTGGCATTTTCGATGATACGACGTCTAGCAAATGTTATTTCGGCAACAATAATTCAGCGCAGAAAGCTTATCGCATAGTAGATTGTTTCGCTTCCCTATTGTGTTTAGCATACCCCTCACTAAAGTTTGCGTTTCACAATTTCATTCATTGTAGAAGACTATTACTACTTTTGGCTACGGAAGCCAGTAAAGGAAGCTAAACATTCAATTGTACTATCGTTTATCTGACAACTCTATATTAGGCAGTGTCGAAATATGAATGCCCGCAATCCTTTGGTTTACACGTATTGCAGGTAAACGGTGACTCTCCAAAGAATTGGACGAATAAGCATCGTAACCCACTAATATTTAAGCATGACACACTCCTCTGTTACCAGACAATTTTGTAACTTTTACTGGATTATAGCATGATCTGGAGCCTCTCACTTAGTCATTTGCAAACCCTATTCTCTTTCAATTACATACTCGTCAACGGAGACTTTGATGGGGAGCTCAGGTTTCTGAAAGCGGGCGTGAGCCTACAAGTCAATTCGAATCAGCCTAGTGCATTCTTTATTCATGCAACTGTTACATACATAACAGATTATCTGTGTTTGCTGTTTACATTTCAAACGTTTTTTGGAATCAAATTCATTTCGTTTCCTTAGCTCTTTGTTTTACTCAAACAGGAACTATTTTCTACCTCTGAATTGTGTCAAAACTGTGCTTCTTAGAATTCATTGCAAAGTAATTCCGTCAAGTTCAGCAATGTAAATAATGATACTCAGGGTTTTTAAAAATCTCACCATTTAGTACGTAGGAGCACATTAATAAAATTCTCAGCCTAACTGAACGCTTGAAAAGTGTAAAATTCGTGGTGCTGATGATAACTTTTCGTCTGACCCTGACTGACGAGCATAGAGACAACTGTAAGTAACAAGATGCGTGCTTTAGAATATGATTCTGAAGTTGACCGACAGTGTCTGATTCTTACTAAACAATCAGGGGTAGCAAGCAGAAATCATCTCTATGGGAAGACAGTCACGAGTGTAAAAACACGAGGATTTATCAAGCTATTTCATCAATGATAAGCAATCAAGTCCATAAACAAATTCTTTGATAATGAGTATGGGTAAAGATAAAACCACCTACCTGACACGATAGTTGGGTCTCGCTAAATGGCTGATTTTCCCGTCTCACCTACTGACATTTCTTCGTTGTCTCAATATACGGACTTCATGCTGTTTGTCGTTGGGACTCTTGCAACTGCCTTCGCTTCTAGTTTTTTATTTAGACAAATGGAGAACAGTGACAATTAGTTCACTTTCAGATTTGTACTGAATACAAGTTTGGTGCTACCGAACTCAACTTTTCTGCGTTCATTTCAAATTATTGTGTTCTGCGAAGTCCCGGAAACCTTTATGAGGTAGAGGGAAAGACATTTTCTACAGTGATGCAATAACCAACAGCTGAAGCAACCTTCACTCTTAAAAGTTAAATCTACACATCACTTTCTTCATTCAAAGTGGTTTAGATCACATATTTTACTGTCTTTAGAGGATCAACGAGTCATCACCTGTGGATTGGAAGTGGTTAGCAAGTCCTTATTTGAGATTTATTGATGGTGAACAAACATAATATATTGCGCTTTTCATAAGTAAGCACAGGATACTTTAACTACAGATAATGGGAATTTTGACTCATGTTGTTTTCATCTATGGCAGCCACTTATTTCCTGGAGGTTTGTTGATTAAGAAACTCCAATGAACCTTCGGAACAACGGCTGCCATCTCTTGGGTGGAGCAGCTTGACACCGCTTTCCTCCTAATACTAATGGAGTGCAGTACTCTGGCTATAAGCAACTTTTTTGTCGAGCCAAATGACTTCGAAAGCAAAAAGACCAGGTAACAAACATTTGAATTGAATCTAAACTTTGATTTGGAATTCTTAATGCATGAAAATTTATCATGTTTGTTAAATGGTTGGATTCAGTATGGTCTTCGCATCTGTAATAATATACTGCGCATTTGGCTTGAGAATTTCTCCCTCATAATTGAGTACTGTCATTATTATGTAGTTTCGAGAACCAAAATGAATAATGAGTGTTCCCTAACTTCAAAGTTTCGGCTCCCATCATTTTTTATTGTCAATCGCAGATGTTTGTTCATACGGGAATTGTATCATACAAATGCATAGTCATTATCAAAAGTTAGCAAAGTAGACTTATCAGTGATGATAGTTGCTTTATTAATTATATACCGTAAACGCTTTAAACGTCTTATGCTTTCTTCAAGCACCAGATACCATTAAGAAATACATTTTAAAAAGTTATTTTTAATATATATTTTGTACTTTTATGCATGAGAAGCGTCAATGACATGTGATAGAAAAAAATTTCTTACAAAGTGGAAAATGAATTTAAGTTAAATGAAAATATATATAAATACGGTGAGGATGTTTGTCTGCTCATCATTCAATTTGATGTTTTGAGTGATTAACGAAGGATCTCTGATTTCTGCAAAGTAGGAAAAAGTTAAAATTAGCATTTCCCACTGGTACTATCAATATTTTAGTAAATCTAAAGATATTTTAATTTGAGAAGTTTTCAATCCCAGTTGCATACTAGTCGATCAATTATCACACGCCTAGAAATACTGAACCTACTACGATAATGAACACAAAATTTCTACTGTATGTTGAACATCTATACGAAAATCTGACATATCGTGTCGGTCACTTCAAAGCAACAATAACAGAATGTTGAACATTTAGTGACTTCATGGAGTCAATCTTAAGAAAGCGCCAAGTTTATCTCGAAGGCCATAAGTAACTGTTGAACTGAACCATACAAGTGCTTATCTAAACACTTTAACAGGATTACTTTAACAGTTCATTTTAATGTGATTATTTCAGGTACATTACATGACAGCTGAAACAACTTGAATCGAAGTTTTCGTTACTCATGGTTCTGTTTGTAGTGAATTGCTACCTAACACTGACAAAATTTTAACATCGAATCAAACTAACCATGAGTTGAAAGTGTGCAGCCTTATTTGACACTCAAAGTGTAATATTTATTCTTCAAAATAGGTTGATTTCTTTGTTGGAAGTTTATTCGTGTACCTCTTACAGACTTGCTGCAGTCACTGATGCGAATAACTGAAAGCTTCTCCTAGTTATGATTGCCGAACAAATGAATGATAGCCCTGTTTCAGATATGAAGCATTCTAACACAATTTACCACACTCTATTCATACGATTTTGGACAAAAATATGAATAAAAACTGCATATTTCGATGATTCATAAACTTCAAGGATGCTTATGCAAGTTGAAACCTTTCTTCACATTTTCCCAATGTTCCCACTACTGCTAGTTCACCAGGATTAGACAGTATTGAATCAGACAGTGTGAGTGCGTATGTTAAGTGGTGCTCTTCATGCAGTTAAACTCTAAAAGCATCCAGGGAGAGCGGAAGTGTAGATGAAAATCGACTGATACCCATTGTACAACAGGTGACTTTCATGACCTGAGGACTAGAGGATAACACGTTTTTGTCTGAAGTGAAAGCTACTGGGTTCGAACCACTTTGGGACCACTACTACTCATGAGGATGCAAATACACTCGGTTAATGAATTTAAAATGGATTGAAGCATACGTCTCGGATTCAATCATTATAAACCAGTAATCGAATTACATCTATATTTAATCGTCAGTCAACATCATTGCATCTTCATAGTGGTCCATAGGTGAATAGGGATTGATTAATTCCGTCCAGTACAACAATCACTGGGGCAGTACAAGTGTCAACTAACAAATTAACCTACAGTTTCCATGTTTACGTTACAATATAAAATATACAAAATAAAGATTATTATGAATTATCAATAAAAGACTGCCACTTAAACACAGTAAGTAGATAACCAGATGATTTGTAAATTAACCTAGTAACAATAGTTAATGAAATAAAATTGATGGTATGGTGTAATTTATCATTAGCTGTTAGCTAACAAGGAACAAGTCTTAATTCTTCATTCATTATTTTCCTCCTGCAAACCAAACAAGTTGAAACACCGATGAGAATAGTAAGTAGGAAAATTCTAGGACCTAAGTATTAGCTTTGTTTACCAAACAAAGGTACTTTAGTTTTCATTTCTTTTGAACTTATCCATTTTCTAATTTGACATACACTTAAATATGCGGATCGTCTTGCTAACTGAATATCAAAAGGTGCAATGGCTAGTCGTCTCCTTACTTAATTGAGTTTCTGCTTAAAACCAGGATATACTTGAACTGAAATACCACAAGCTTCACTCAGAATTTAATTAACAAGTAAAGGAGTAAGCAGTTGTCTTTCAGCCTGAAATTAACATCGTCTGGTGTAATCAAGGTCAAAGTGTATTAGAATCTTTTGAGTGAAGTTATCTTTTCACAAAAGAGTTAGTGTAGTCCATATATGCCTATTACTGCATCAATTTACCGAGAGAACATTCGAAATTATGAAAATTCTGTTGACAGAACTCGACATTTTCTAACTATCTTCTGATAAGTTGATTTTCATTATTCTATTGTTCGCACCATACAGTTTCATTAACACTGCGAATCTACCATAAAATATCACCTTACTTCTGCATTTGCAAAATCATTTTCTACGACTTTCTGAAATATTTCTTCGTACCATGTCGTTCGAATCTTGCAAGATGCGAGATTCTCAACTTCTTAGTCGATAGTTACAGGTGCCATGCTTTCATTCGACAGTATATATATATATATATATATATATATATATATATATATATATATATATATATATATAAACCAAATAATATGATTTTCAAGATTTTTTTTGACGTATAATCATTCATTTTACTTACCAACGTCCTTAAAGAATAAATTGTGATGACAAAGACTGAAAGACGTTCTCTAGCGCCATTCTCTCCTGTATCTAGAATTACTGGAGGAAAAGTGTACGTAAGGCACAGTATTCACTAGCAATAATGGAAATGATAACTTGCTGAAGTCATTAAAAGATTAGTTCACAAAATACTTTCCATGGGCATCTACCTTTACACTTGAAATGTGATAAAACTTACATCTGTAACACTCTTACTCCCTTTGTTATGATAAGTCTTTCACTAGTTTATAAAAATATAGCACATTCATTTCAATATCTTTGCTGGCATAATATTCTTTCTGCATATCACTTCAACCCGATAAAGATGCTATGTCACTGACACACTCAGTTTCAAGAGAAAAATAAGTTCCCGAATTTACAACTCCTACCAGACTTAGGGTGTTTACTTAAATGGGTTTAACAAACCAATGATGAAGAGTTGATTGAAGCCTTCGAATCTAACGCAATCAGAGTTACCCATTTAGTTGAATAAGGAGACATGTAACACAGATGTCCATCAAAAGCGTCAAATAACAATGACCTTCAGACTCTGATCTAGACGTAGAATGATATACTAGGAGAATGCTTTCCTGAAAACTAACATGATTCGAACTGTAGGTATAGCTTCTGAATAGTTACCATATTCTAGCATTTCCTTTTAATATATGGGTTTGAAAGTCCTATTATCTGGTTTAAGCAACAGTTTATTCGCTCAGCATTAAACTGACTTAATTTTAACCAACAAACCACACGCTGAATGCCCATGACTGCGTTCAAAAAGATAAGAGTATCTGCGTGATAGTAACTCACAAACAAGGATATTGATCTCGATAATAAAAGTAAAAATGTAAACTGAGTATAAAGAGAGAGTACAATTCCCACAGAATCCAACGTCCACCATTCCTGATTTCTGTCAAGCCAGATTGTGCAGCAGTCATAATCGTATATTCACTTTAATTTGCTCTCCATATTAACTTAGATCCTCATTCTTAAGTCATCTTGAAAATGTTTTTAGATCAGACGTATTCTCGAAGCTCGTTCATACATGTGAACATTGGAATTTCGCTTTCCTTAATGACGATTACGTAATGCTCGCCATTTTCATCAGGCAGACATTACCGTGAAAATAACTGTGATATAAAACCATTGAAAATTGGAAGATACTCCAAAATGGTTCTAGATGGAAGGCTCATAAATTACCACTTCTCTATAAATCCTTATTTAGCAGAACGAAGGAATGAACCATTAAGTGCATTTGTTTAAAGGTTATTCGCAATACGTTTGCCTACATCTGAAAGTTTGCAGCCTGTTAAATGTCAAATGAAGTCTGCCTTTTGATTTCGGGATGGTTAATGAACTACGAACATATACTATTATCTATAATCCGACCTACCGTACACAATTTAATAGATTGCTACGCTTTCTACTCTAGTATTTACTGGTGAATCATACTACAGATATTTATATGAATCCTGGTCAAGATTTGACCGAATGGTTTCACAAATTTTGGGTGCTGAGTGTAAAGTTGACATTAGACATAAGTTATATTCGGACAAATCTCAGCGTGCTCTAATTAAGGAGTTCCAGTGTTCCGCACGAAAGTCTGGTCTGAGCTTTTTCAGGGAAATAGTCAAAATCTACATTATATACGATTATTGACCGGCTTTATACATCTACGATAATGTAGATTTCGATAATTTCCCTGAAGAAGCTCTTCCCAGACTTCTATGTGGAACATTGGAATTTCCTAATTCAAGCACGCTGAGACTTTTCTAAATGTAACTTAGATCTAATACTACAGATAGGCAAAAAGCTGAAATCGTAAAGTTGTATGTGTATTGAAAAAATACCATTCAAATATTTAAGTTCTTTACAGTTGAAGTTCGTCACAAAATGAAGAATCTGCTTCACAGTATATTGCAAATTGGAGTCGAGAAATCAGAAAACAGATTTATACAATCTGATACGAAGAATTTACAGTTTAAACTCAGATAATCACTCTTTGGCAGTGTTTATCCTCTTATTTTTGACTCCAACAACTATTCTATTAATCAGTAATAAAAATGCTAGAAATAATTGAACGTTACATGGTTGAAGTGATTACTATGGACTCAGTATTATTCAATCACATGTTTTGCCAGGAAAACTGAAAGAGATATAATTATATAGTACATTTTATTTTATACGTCGCAGCGAAGCGATGAAGCCGAATTTCAGATAGAATTTAGGTTGAAGAAGTTGTTTAGTATGAAAAAAGAATTTGAAGAACTTGATTCAGCCAGTCGGCCGAGGTGTTACGAACCCTCTGAAGTGATCCACTAAAGTCAGCAGTCATTTCTATTATTCGAGGTACTTCTACGTTGAAGAACTGAACAGTATGTTTACTACTTGAAGATAATGTGATTACTTGTTATCTGCGTCCTGTTACAATTTGGATGGAAATGAGAGGAACAAATAAGTTTTCGAGACGCCTGTCAAGTAACCACTGTCATTTCCATGTTCTGTACTTCCATTCAAAATCTGGTATTGTTGTACACTACAATCTGCACAAAATCCTTGTAGAAGGAAAATGTAAAACACTTTTTCAATAAACATTCTCTACCATTGCTTTCAAAGATAAAAACTTGGTGTCAGAATAATTTTCAGCAGTAACTAAAGATGAGGCAAAGTTATAACTTCAAATTATATTTATGCATCTTCTGATATGAAGATACTCAACGTGACAGACATAAGCACAACTTTAAAAGAACCGAAGCCTAATTTCTCTTTACAAATGAATGGGTGTTCATGCAAACACGTGTAAATATAGATTATGCCTTAAAAACCCTCTTGATTGATTGAACAGATTTAGCAGTGAATTATCATACTAGTAAATTCATTGTTCATTTATTGACTAAAAAGTAACCTTTAGTTTACAGCATCTCTGAATGCGCTGTGTAATGAAAGTTCATTTAAGTGGTACAGAAAAATATTCGCTCACTCATATTGATCAAAGGAGTTATTCCAACGATTTGAGTTTGAAAAATTGTATGGTCCAGGTTGTTCCCATCTTTTTCAATTAAAGATATAATGATAACACGTTTCAATGAAATAACTTGTAATTCAAGAGATAACTGTTTTGCATATAACAGTAAACAAACAAGGGTGAATATATTAATTAATTCCACAAACAGAAAGAGAGAAGTATCTTGATGACAAAAAATTCAGGACAGTCGTTTGTCAAGGAGGCACAGAGTACAAGGATAAAATAATGTCTACTTTTCCGTATCGGTCATGACCATTTAGGGGTAAAAATAATCGCTGAATCCAGATGATAAATGTAGTCATGGCAAGCGTTTAGCATTAAGGAAAATCATTTTGATGAAATGCTTAATAATATTGTCTTCAAGAACGTCGAATTCGGCACGTTTAACGTCTGGTGATTTAATTAACTGGATTTCATGATGTGGTTAAGAAACGAAATCCCTCCATGACTGAGAAAAACAAACGTTATGACATTATTCAGCCTAACTTACAAAGTGTTTCAATTACTCATCATTTCTGGTAGAGAAACGTGATAATTATCCTCAGCACTAATCAACAGTCAAGATATTAGATTCGTTGTTGCTTTATGTAGCATGTAACGAATGGAACACAACATGCGTTGAGTAACGGTCAAACCATACCATTCACATATGGTCAAATGAATATGTGCACTGCGGTAACTACTAGAAGGAGTTTATGGCAAAAGTACCATAGACGTATTTCTTCTGAATACTGGCTTACTGGATAATCCTATTGCTATATTTTCTTGTTATACGTTATTCAAAATTATTGTATCCTACTATTATAAAGAACACTTTAGATGTTGAGTAATATTGACAAGTTGATAAATATGTCACTGCTAGATATTAAATCACCTTTTTCTTATGAATTTTATCGTATTTCTGGTTTAAATAAAAAGACCGGAAACTGAGAGCTTTATGAGATCTCATTAATCAGTTGAAATGATCTGAACCATAGTTTTGGTGAACTTATAAAATTAAATAAGGAATAACAGAAACTTCTAGCGAACGAATATATCTATTGATAGGTGATTTTGTCTTAAAATTACATCGGTTTGGTGCAGAAGCAAAACTTTCTGTGACTGACGGTTGCTCAAGTTGACAAATAACAACAGACCAAGAGAAACAGCAGTGTTAGTGAATCGTATTTGAGTGAGTAAATTAAAAATGAAGTACACTTTGCTAAACCTAGCCACCCTGGATCCAATTGCGCTAGTAGATGGATTTTAGCACTTCAAAGAAGCCTAAAATCAATGCAACAGGTTATCCATTGATTTTAGGCTTCTATTTCATATTTATCAATCATCGTCTAGAAGACCGTATCTAGGAAAATAATAACTTTTATGCATTCGAATCATGCAAAATGATAAAAGATGTGAACATTTAGCTAGTCAGACAAAACACGGTAATATGATTGGCACAGAGCCTGAAGGTTCTGGATTCGACCCCCGGTGGGTTCATGAGCAGGTACTGCCAAATCCCATACTAGAAGGAAACAGCTGTCCAGTGATCTTAGATCTTGAATGGTTCTCCAAATAATGTCAGTCCATGATAAGTACCAACTTGAAAACAAACATCGAAATCACAAAGTGCAGCTTTGATAATACAGGATTGTCGCTGAGATGACTACTGATAAACGATAAAACTCAGCGTTTACCAACCATAGTTTTGAGAATAGTAAACGATCGCGAAATGACTGATAGTAAAAGAAAGAATTACCCTTGATTTCTCGATGAGCCTCCGTAATCCCTTCTCTCATTCCCAAATTCATTCTAGAAAAGGAAATTAAAATTGTTCAATGATGTATACTTGTGTACATGCATTTTATATCAGATATTTCGTAACAAACTAGATTTCTCCTTACCACTAACGACCGAAAAAATGAAACAGTCTGAGATCCAGTTTTCCAAAGTTCTCTTAGATACAGCTTTTTCCGAAGTCCGATGAAGAACTAAAATCTTCTGTAAGTCCACATAGATTATTCACTGTGCTCTATGCTCTAGTCAAACTAAGTTGTAGGCTTTCATACATCTGTCACAAAGGCATATACAGTTCTCTTCAGTATATACGTTTTACTGTAAAGCTTTCTTACATATGTTCGGCAATCCCAAGTGAGCATATTTATACTTTGGTCTTTATGCGGTCTTAAGACACGATGAACAACGATATTCACAAGACCTAAGGATTATTTACAGCCAACTTAGGTTTCACATTAACAAATATGTAAATTAATGGATCAGACCGTGTTCTGATAGTGGCATGAAACTGAATGCAGTGGTTTATTGGCATCTCGATGGAGCACATACTTTCCAGACTGACGAACCTAGATCTTTTAAAAAGGTGACTGCAAAGACGCTTCAAGTAAACCTACTGACCTCAAGATTGCACTTTCAAGGTAACAGACAAAATATTTTTTTAGACAGATAACTGCCTAACTATCTTGTGTCACATATTTAGGTACTGTAAATGATGAAATTTATGGGAACTGTTTTCTATTAACAGTCTCCATTATTAATCTAACACACGAAATAATTCTTGGTTATAATAACTTGGATTTGCATTTGGGTGTAGACAGTACTACGGAACCAGAGAAACAGCCTGTTAGCATTTAATGATAAAACTGTTCGCAAATAATCATCTCTTTCAACTCATATCATCGAAACACCGATACAAACAGCAATGAGCAACATATGCTGGGGGAAGACAATACCTAACTTTACCATGATGAATCCCATCTTCAAACCAATAAATCCCCACAAATCTTAAAATCGAATTGCGTGAGGTTATCTGAACTCTCAAATGACAGTGTATACGATTTTCATACTTTTGTTGATATATATACCAGTTTAAGCCAGTGTTCTCAGACTGATAATTAACAATACTTATATCACCTGGCTTAGGACTCACATCACACCGGTTCTCCAATAATAATGTCGCCGTACAGAATAATTCACACGTACATTCTGAAGTATCATCAAAATGAAATAAGTCATCGTTTTTGAATTTGACACGCACGACTAATTTCGAAGCCATTTCAGTTGATGACGTTGTACAATCTTATCAAATAACTGGACTTCCTTACTTAGTACTTTTTGACTAACCTCAACATCTTTCACGTGAAATTTCCAGCACGGCAAGTAATACACTGCAGAGAGTTATGAGGAAAACCTATGACCTCATATCTTTTAATTTTAGAGACTTTCTCAATCAGATGGGGTTAACTACTGTGTAGTGTACTCATTATATGATTAGCAGTCAGATGTCTCATCAGTGTTGGAAAATATCAACCGAACCTCCTACCTCCCAGGTAAGATTTCTTCAGAAATCAGTTTTCTGACTCAGTCCCCTACTCCTGTGTACTGAAGGTGAATGCCCTCGATTCTACTTAAAAAGGCTTTCAATTGCTCTCAACTTTAGACTGGAAACCCCTTTTTTGTAGGAAGTAAAAAAAGGAATCAGAAATAACGCTGCTCATAACTCTACTTAATCATATAAATCGGGTTTAATTTATCCTGAGTAGGGTGAGTAGCACAAACAGAGGTTTCAGATACTTCAATTTTTCTGCGCAAGACAAACATACATTCGCTCTAAAGTCAACGACTCTCCCAACTAGTATTCAGCTGTGCATAAAACTAAAGCTCAACATGTAATCCGGCTAGAAATAAGCAGAACAAGCGAAGTGGAATACACCAAATTGTTCCCTAAAAATATTGAAATCTTACTGAATATGGATCCATATCGCCTCTTCTATTCATATCCCAATCATAAACTTGCTGACGTTCATTACTGAAATCTTGCCCATACATTGGATTTTCTCCATAATTTCCTGGTGTACGACCACAGAAGTTTTGCTGAAAGAGTTGCACAGAGCATTATGTTAGCTTTCTTTCATAATATACACACAGAGATTATTCAGTATATTTGTACTATCAGCTTATTTGCTATTTTGTTTGATATTTAAATTATATAACTAGATTTGAATAAAACAAAAAGAACAAACGTAGTAAAAACTCTCTCCAGAAACAAATATGAGCACAAGACAATGTGAACCCTCAATGACTCATCGAGCTTTCTAATTGGTCTCGTCAAGAGGGACGTGATGAAGTCAGTAGACATAGCAACCTAAAATGAGCTTAAACCTGGTGGATCTTGATTACCATATCAGTAAGGCCTGCCCAAAGTATACAAAGCTAATGTCCCGAGATCAATACTACCAATGGTCGACTCAACAATTCACAAGCTCGCCCGATAGCTGGCAAGACGTTTAGAACCGATTTACACGAAGCCCCCCATTTGCAGTTTGAAGGATACCTTTTAATTTGCAGAAATGTTAAAGGACCTCAATACCTCTCAAAAATTCATGGTTACTCTTGATGTATCATCCTTAAGAAATCCCTCTGGAAGAGATGGTAGATACCGCATGTCAGCTTCTAGAACTACCTCCACTTCCAAAATATGAATTCAAACGGCTTCTTCTGATGTGTACAAAAATGGCCCATTTCAGCTTAATAAGTCCTATACCGTCAAATCGATGGAGTCGCCATGGACAGCCTTTTAGGCTTGATCCTTGCTGATATCGTCATGAGGGGTCTTAAACAGATGAAAGTGAAACATACAATCTACCAAACAGCATTCTACGCAAGGGACGTTGACGATACACTTTTTGCTTGCAATAATGGTGAACATGCCTCTCATTTGTTGAATATTTTTAATAAAGCCCACCTGAATGTACCACTCACAATGGAAAATGAACGTGACAACAAGTTTTACTTCCTAAACCTCGGCCTACAACGTCACGCAGATGGAAAGATTCGTATATACATTTATTGGCAAGACCCATGGAGCGAAATTTATACAAACTTCAGCCGCTTTAGCCCAGTCAGTTACAAAAAGTGTTTGGTAAGAACACTTTTCAACCGCACACGCAAACTGTGTTCTGAAGAAAAGAACTTAGGGAGAACTGACCTTTGTCAGGAACTATCTATGCGAAAAGGATTGCACAGAAAAGTTCATTGACAAGTAAGGTAGGATAGAAGCGAAGATTATCAAGTACATTAAAGCTGACTAGAAGCTGATCCATCTACATCTTGCCTTCAAAAGTGGTGAAATAACCACATGGATGAGTCGTAGACAGGGTTCTGAAGTAAAAAGAACCTGTTCAAGATTGGAAGAACAGAATAAAGGGATCTTATCTGTCTTTTTGAACATATCCCAAAGAGTTTGAGTCTTAATGGTCAAGTGGGTTTAATTAGTGTGGTCACCCGGTTTTGCTTGATACTGGCTGTAAAGTCGACGTATTAAATTCAGTCAAAGTGATCAATAAACGGCTGAAACCCACTAATTTGCCGTTTGCTGGAGCATTTGGAATTAAAAGACTCGAATCTGATCTATGCATTCAGAAAAATCCTGTTTCCAATCTTGCATTAGCTTGGTTCTTTTATTCTTCTAAATTTGCAAATGCAAGATTTCGTGACCTCATGATCCTAAGTCTTTTACAGTTATTTTCCAATCTACTCCAAAGCCTGCTCTCACTTTCTGGGTTGTATTCATCCTATTGCTCAATATAGTGAAAACCTGGTAATCTTTTGTTAAGCTTACTTAACCATCACGTCCTTTTTTATCAATTCTGGAATAGCATTGTACACAACCCCCTTCCATCTACACATTTATATTTTTTCGCCATCTTATCTAGAATTTTTTTTGTCACCATGTAAATAACTAACCTTTGAGAAGTCTTAAAAACTGCATTAATCGCGGTGAGCGTAAATCTCTGTTACGTTCTATCTCAATTCAAAAATCCTCGTCGACTTATTAAAATATCTTGTATAACATAGTGTTTATCGTGAAGATCATGTTCTATAGGTTGCTTGGCAGCTGAGGAGAGTCCATCAAGTACACGCATGTTAATTCTGTTACTACTGTTCTTCTTGTGTTATTCATATTCGTGAAAGAGAAGAATTGTATAACTGGGATGTTACCTTTTACAAATCAGAAAAACAGGTGCTACTTTTGCATTATTTGCTAAGGGCTATATACTTTTGTGGTAAGAAAAAAGAAATATAGGCATTTTAAGCCGTATTGCTACATTGCTGCCTTTATAAATAGCACGCAATTAGACTACAGGCATCACAAAAATATATTTCCAATCAAATGATCCTGGGTGTTCGGAAAAGTTTCCCCTACATAAAGGTAAATCTTAAAAATGAAGCTTGAAATGCTTAACTGTACAATAAAGCATCCCAGACTTATATTTTTCATAAGGTCTTATTCGATGACTCCTGAAGAATTTAATTTTTTCGTGCCTTGAAAATCAGCTGTGGGAAAATTGATATGTTTATCTAACCCGATTCACGATCAATCTAACTCATAGAGGGACTCTGGAATAAAACCCTAAAACATACTCTATTCAGTCAAAATTTGCCCAAAAATATGTGTCTCGCCCATTCATATGCTTAGTTTAAGCCGCATCAGAACTGTGATAAATAAGTTTATGCACAAAGAAGAGCTACCAACATGTTGATAGATTTACAGTGCAAACAGTGTGTAAAACACCTGTGTTTCCCACGATTAGTAAATAATGTTTATTTGGCAACAACGCAACTTTTTTGACTAATTAATTCGCTTGCTTTGCTTAATTTTAATTTGTCTTATAGTAGACATATACTTGCAGCCTGAACCGTTGCGATGCGATATCTCGACAGACTCCGATTTCCAGCGTTGGTCTTGGTGACAGTGACACTCGCATGTAAAAATATGGTTTCGCTTTGAATTGTAGAACAGTCTTTACTCTAACGAGTAAAGTTTAAGCAACGTACTCTTTATTTCAAAGTGAAGTAGAACAAATTTTCGACCGTATTTAACAGAATAGGGATTTTCATCATAAGTTACTTAAAAGTGACGAATAAGTTCTTTTCGACCACAACATTCATTTGTCAGTAAATAAGACATTCCACTAGTGAGATACCTCTGTCACTGCTGAGAATAACTTTGAGTCAAATTTTTTATAACTATGGTAAGTACTCATTATTTGAATATTATCATCCAGTTTATGCAATAAACAAACATATTCAGGGAACAGCCTTCCACTCAAATTCTCTAGGCAAAATTTGATGACAAAAGTTTCTGTTATGATGACCGGTAAGATGCAGTGAACATTAAATTATTTCTGCACTTTTCATTCGATGAAAACTACACTATCGTGTTCTACCTTGGTCTCGTATTCGTGGGTATATAACAAGTTCGAATAATTAGTGATTGGTCTTTGCGTCTGTCAAGTTCGCACCAGGACAAATCCTAAATTGGTGAGCCCGACGTGATTAAGCTTGTCAAAAGTGTAAAGTCACGCGACACACGAAAAGCCCTTTAGGCTCATTTCTAGCCCCAGACATGCGTTTCGACCACGTCCATATAGATATTGTAGGACCCCTACCAGAATCTAATGGATGTACCTACCTTTTCACCTGTGTTGATCGTTTCACACGATGGCCGGAAGCAGTACCCATTAAAGATATTACTGCCGAAACAGTTGCTCGTGTTTTCGTCGAAAGATGGATCGCGAACTTCGGATGTCCATCCTACGTCACAACCGACCGTGGGCGCCAATTTGAGTGCGGACTATTTCACGCTCTAACGGCACTTTTAGGTTGCACTCGGTTCCGAACGACAGCCTACCATCCACAAGCAAATGGCATGGTAGAGCGTTTCCATCGACAGCTGAAAGCTTCCCTTTCAGCTACAAACATACCTCAGTGGACCGAGGCTCTGCCTCTAGTCCTACTAGGTATTCGTAACGCGTTGAAAGTTGATGCTGGATGCACTCCTGCAGAACTCGTCTATGGGACCACTCTTCGCCTACCAGGTGAGTTTGTTTCCCCTTCAACTTTCAAACATGTTTCCGACAGGGCATCTTACGTGACTAGGCTTACAAACGCAATGCGTTCAGTTAGGCCTTCTCCGATTAGACCGCAAACGACTGATGTTTTCGTCCACCCCAGTTTACAGAAGACATCACACGTGTTTGTTCGCCACGACGCTGTTCGTCGACCACTTGAACCACCCTACGACGGGCCGTTCAAAGTGATTAAGCGACATGAGAAATTCTATGTAATTGAGCGAGGCGGACGCGAAGATACTGTCAGTATCGACCGTTTGAAACCAGCTTATTTCGAAGGCAACCCCATTGTAAGTGACGTTTCAGCTCGCTACATCCGGCCGACGGATGACTCAATTATCGAAATTCTCGACGATGTGCCTGGTAATGCACAGCTGCAACAACCAGCGGCGCAACAAAAAACACGATCAGGTCGAACCGTCAGGTTCCCAGAGTACCTGAAGTCATATTCAACTTAGCTATGTGTGTGCCAACCATTTTTTTTCGAGGCACTATTTTTCTTATTTACCGGCACAAACCCTCGTACACTTTGCCTTTTTATATCAATTTTTATTTACCATGTAATAAAAACTAAAAAAACGGCGAAGATAAGCGTAAATTTTTCTTTTTCGACACGTTTATATATAAATAATTCCCATTTTTACGCAACGTTTTCGTGGTATTAAAGACTTTTATTTATATTCCAGGTGCAACGAGCACTGGACGGAACGTCGAAAGGAACAGATGACCGCGACCGACGTACAATTTCATTTATTGTATTTTATTTATTTAATCGCCACGACACCCTAGAATAAGGTTCAGACAACCAGGGGCCACCTCACGCAGTGAGCCCATCGGGAGAGTTTTACCAGTGGAGAAACCACTGGGTTTTTACTTCCGGCTGGTATCGTCTTAGGGTCCTCACGAACCCACTAGGGGGGGAGTGATCTGTAGCGTCATACACTTCCCCAAAATCAATAGCCTAGGGTTTGACGACTTCGACATTGATGCTGACCTTGATAGTTTAACTGGACTCGCTAAGCTGAAGGCATCCGGTCAAGCATCCTCGCCATTTGGCACGCTGTCGTGTTACGTTGCATTGCTCGTATTCGACTCTCTAGCCAGTTAGTTGGAACGCATCGGTATTTTGGCATAACCATCCAAATATACTATTCCATCCGACTACGCTATCGTGTTCTTCCTTGGTCTCGTATTCGTGGGTATATAACAAGTTCGAATAATTAGTGATTGGTCTTTGCGTCTGTCAAGTTCGCACCAGGACAAATCCTAAAAGATAACACTCTGCCAGAGATTACTGACTAACTTTTGATTAATTTAGATGGTGTAAAATGCAACCATTTTTCCGCTGTGGTAGTCCAAACACGAAATGAACAATGGTGTGACCGGATCCTAAATTACTGTCAGTTATTTCATGCATGCATGTTTGTGTCTTGACTAGTAGTTCACACCAGACAGCCAACAACCACAGTAATCAATGTGGCGTCACTAATGCTTCGAAAATACCACACACACACAGATACCTACAATGTATGTATGTAAGCTGTCAAATACTTAAGTATTGATATTCAAAACCCGAGTTGTAAATATAATTGCCGCAGAATTATGTTGCTGCTGAACAGCTGACAGGTAGACATTATAATAATCAGATCTGAGAAAGCTTGGTTTCTATCTAAGGACATTAGGGAATTCACATAAAAAATCCTACAAAGTACTCACATTCATATTGTAGTCTTGCTGATTTGTGTTTCCATAAGAGCCAAAACCGCCACCTCTGACTCTGGAACCTTCCGGATTACCACCCATTTCATAGGCATCGTAATAACCTTTGATTTCTCTGGGTTTGAAGGGCATAACGATGTAAACCAAAAACCTTTACTACGAATACTCCTAACATCCTTTTAAAGTGTAGAAACACCTTGAAACTGCACACAGTGGCTTAAACAAATTATTCAATATCCAGCATATCTTTTATGTGATTGTATAATTTAGTTCATTTATTCATACTCACTTTTACATCCTGCAGAACAATCGAAGATATTCAGTGTGTTCTAATGCGGTAAATAAACCCTGTGTATGTTGTAGTCCTGGCACACCCGGGGGTTGGTAGAGTGATTGAACAATATACAGACCGGCGCATGAGTTGTCCCCAGAATGTAATGAGGATTCATCCTTCAAATGTTGTATCACCAGACGGTTGTTCAGAGTGATTTCAAGGGAAAGATAACAGGGATCAAGAGGGAGTCAATGTTAGCAAAGAAGAATAAATCTAATGTCGGTTTTAAGGGCTTGTCACTCAATCTATTCGCGCTCACTTCCAGGTCTTGCTAGGAGCTTCCAGATCTTTAATTAGTCCCAATGCGGAAGATCCACCAACTCATCTTTTATTCAGCTGGTAGAACTAACGGATGTTTGGGTGGTCAGATTTGAAGGACATTGTGTGAGGTGTCCTGGACCTATGGCACAGATGGATTTCTCCAATGTCGTGTTGCTGGGCAGCTTCACGAGCTGAACTTGAAGGGGAGGGTCAATCTAAAGAGGACGGGGAAGAAAACTCCGATGTGGAGAGGTCCAGTAAACCGGGTGGAACTATAGAGTCGGAGGGAAGAAAATTAGCAGGGAGTAAGCTAATGGGGATAATGGAAATGCACATCTGTGATAGTGTCAGCAGTTGTATTGTAAATAGGAAGGTAATGCGTCTCATTAGAAAATTAAGGGTTTCGTTGAGTTCATGGTTGTAGCACTGCTACAAAAAAATGGGATGCAGATACCTGCTTTGGGACGATGCTGGACTGGTTGGCCGTTTCATCACATTCAGCATTCCAGCTGGAGGAATGCAAGCCATTCATAGCTTCATAGGCATTTAATCTTTCTTTAGACTGTCGACAGGTGAAGGGAGGGCATCCTTCGCAGACGATGCATGCTAGTGGCAGCAAACTAAGAACGAATAAAGAGGAAAGCAGAACGAAATACAGTGGATACGCAGAAAACGAGAATGAAGGCCATAGCCTAATTAATTTGAGCTGAGGGGAACGACGTCACAGAAAGAGAGAAGGTAAAATATGAGGTTTTTTGTCGGCCACCATAAAGAACTTCGAGTGGCATTCACCTCTCTAGCCAATTTGGATCGGTAGGATTTTGTAAGCCTTTATTGAGCTAATAAGCGTTCGAAACGGACTGAGATCATGGGGACAGACATCGTTTGGCGTATCCCAGGGTAATTTTTCGCCGCATCGTTGAAATATCCTTTGTTCATCAACTTCGCAAAGAGGTTGTCAACTATTTTAAGCCGTGTTGTCGCAGTGACTGAATGAGTCTGTAGGTGGAGTCATGTGTAGAACCTGCCAAGCTTAAATGAGGACTCAGAGGTTTGCCACTGTTCGATTCCGCACGAGGTGTATTATCGCATTTGCCCCACAGAGATTTTGTAGATATTTGGAACTGGCATTTTGATTGTCTGTCCATGCTAGACACTCCAAATAAACTCCTAGCCAGGGCGTCGCCTGATCACCAATATCCGAACTGAGGCCAAGAGATTCAGCAATTTCTAACACACAAAATATCTCCTCATTCATCTTTAATGGATCACGGTCAACGGCCGGTAGAATTTCTCCTCTCTGTGAATCTTTCTAGGGTTGCTGGGGTCAGCTTCAAGTCTCTAGATAAGGTGTGTGTCAGAGGAACTCATATCTTGCGCATGCTGACGTTACACGGACTTAGGTCTATACATGCGTTGTGGTCCCACCGTTTTCAGCCGGTACTTCTTTTACTCTATACTTTTTCTGTGCCCACCGTAAGGGCCTAGCGCTTGTTTCCAGCTAGTAGGTCCACTTTTTAGGTATCATTATTAATTGTGGATCACTTTTAAGAGGTTCGACCCATGATGATATCTCCTAATGGATCCCACTGAAGGTGATCCAAAGAGAATGCCGACCCCGAACCTATGGATGTGTTTACGGACGTCAACTCACAGCCACGTTTTTTGCCCTGCTGTGTCAGAGACAATGATGACAGCATCCTCACAACATATGCTCGATGACTATCAGATCAAACACCATCATGTTTCGATTGCTTCTGCCGATAAGAACTGAAATCTGTATGTTGATTACTAGTTGTCAGCCGCTAGTTGGAAAATGATTCAGTTTCAGTTGCCTCCGTTTTGGCCGTCAGCGCGTGTCGTTGCCTATCTCTTCGTAAACCCGGCCTTTCCGAAGGCATCTAACAGGTTTCCAAAGGATACCAGGCTAAATTAGTGCTGTCCTCTCCCATATTTGGAGCCAGAGCGTTAAAATTTCCAGCTATGATAATCCGGTCATAACCCTCGGTCGACACAGTGGATACCGCCTGAAGTGGCCGATGCTTTCGTCCTACATCATCACCGTTGGGTTGGTAGACACTTTGCATTTAATACTTAGTGTGTCTGCTCATTAAATCGCACCATACCCTATCCGAAAGTTCTGTTAGTACAACAGATGTAGCCCACTGGATTTCGAACCAATTGCTCACTCAGGGACCCTAATCACCCAGTTCGTTGTTTCCCTTGTATCTGTTTGACGGAAGTACGCAACGCTTACTCTCTCACTAAGACCTCAAGACGACCGAGCCTCCGTCATAATCACATTTTTAGTAGCAGCGTAGGAAAAATAGATCGTAGTTCTGCTACCGTGGGTACAAGCCCACTAGGAATACTGTTTTCGCATGGTGGGTGGCCGATAATGTATGGGTGACACGATTTCACCTCCCAATCGTCCAACTCTAGAGTGCAGCACACAGTATCCTACTGCGGTTCATCGGACACTTCTCTTCAGGCTATCAATGCAAACGTGACTATCAGTAAGGATGAAAGAGTCGGGTTGACAACTGAAATTAGCATTATTATGCGTGGACAGTACAATTTCACGCCCTCTTCCCCCATCTCATCCACTTTTCATGATGTCCTACAGCGGTTGGCACTACACTGGTTTCATTCTTTGGGGCTAACGTGGGAGCTCACGTGGGTGCCAACTGTCCTACTCCCCATAGACGGTTAATCGCTGTGGACACCCTTTCAGTGCCATTGAATATCATTCTGGCTTTGACAGCCCTTGGTGGTGGCCAAGGAGAAGGTTTGCGCTTCAGCAACTGCTGGAACGTTTTTATAGTCTCAACACAGGAGTCTGTGGCAAGAAGTGAACCCGTGCGCCACCGCGGGCGGTGTGTGAGAACCACGAACATGGCGGTGCACCCGATAACCGTAGTACTGATCTATCACTTCCTTGTCGCAATGACGGCTTAACCAACTATGGCAGATGTTGCTGTCAGGGTCACTTAACCTTCTACTGCAGTGGGGCCAAACCTGAGGCTATCGTCTCTATGGTTACCAGGTTTGGCTAAAAGCTTCTTCTCCCTCCCCTTCCCCTTTTGATCGGCAGTTTCTAATCTTGAATTTGGAGTCTTGCTGTGTATGCCGGCAAAGCCGGCGGTGCTCTGATTAGGGAAACGGGTGTTCAGAATAATAGGAAAACTTGACGCTGAAGTGGAGTGTAATTCCACACTTGACTGCTTATTGGTATCGCAAACAGTGATAAAGTACAAGTTAATGGATGATATTTCGGTTGGAATCTGTTCACATTAAGATCAAAGCGTTGTTCGGGTTGATGTGCAGAATGTTGTAGGAAGCGGGGATTCGATTTTTCGATATCTGTATCCGCGGTACTTCCACAAGACTAGGTCCAGATGATGGGCGTATACACTTTGAATTTCTTAATTCCTCCAAGCTAAAGTGCCACCTACTTCTAAGTGGGAGGCGGACCAGGGCCTTTCGAAGTGAAGGCTTGTCAAAAGCCTACACTACGCCAGCCCATAAAATGAGTTATGTAACGGAAAAAGCATCGTCCGAACATTCGACTATCTACCTTACTATTGGTTGTCTCACTGTGCGACTCCAGAGAATTCCAACAGCTGCCTACGAGACCTTAGTGCCTAGGTGGGTGAGAAATATAGTGCTTCAAGTGTGGGAACCGGAGAGTTGGCAGTTGCTAGAGGTCATCGGGCCTGCTAAAAACTTATCTAGTTGGACGGATGTGGTAGGGACGAATTAGGGATGGTGCGTTCTACCGACAAATTGTTGCGTAGCCATTGGGTTGGGAGGTGCAGGCTCTCAGTGGGGAGTCTTAAACGTATTTTCTTCCTTCTGAAAGGCAAAGAAGGCAAGGTAAATCGGTAGATTTGAAGCGCGTGGTTACGTAGAGACAAACTGTGCCTTGCACGACGCCCGGTTGTCCTTCATAACGATCGAATTCTCGTGAATTCTCCATAAGAAAATGGGCTCTGTGCTTATCTCAATGGAATATCGTCATCGTCGTCTTAAATATCATTTTAGAACTTTGGTCTGCGTGTTGTGCAGTTAATGGTCGAAGATCTCCCGGTCTCAATGGCGGTTATACTGGAATACGCCCTTCATTTTTAAAGCACAGTTTTCTACGCTGTTTGTAAAGGGGAGTGACGTTCTACGTTCAGCTAGATTCTCGGCACTTTTTGTGTTTACACACCAAGTACTGTTGTATTTTTGCTCCTATCGGAATATTATTTGATTAAAGTGGGACAGAAACTTTTACTGGGTGAATTTCTGTAGTTTCTACTGCATAATGAGCCAAAAATGTAGCAAAAATACTTATGGTAGGGCCGGGTGCCACTTCACAGTGAACTCTGGCGTACAGCGTATCGAATGTAAGAGTTTGTTCCACGATAGCTGCACAAGCCTCACACCCACAGCATACAAGAGGTACAGCAACGCGGGGAGTGTCTGGTTTTGTTCTCTGTGCTGCTCGGATATTCGCCCTCCGGTGAAGGGAGCAAAAACACTTCTAAATACT